GGGGAAGGGCAATCGGTTTAGCACTGACTGGTGTGATTACAGCTGTTGGGCCCTCGGCTGTCCCCAGAAGCCTGGTACCTGCATGAGGAAGGCAGGGGAATAGCCGGCCCCTGGGTGGCCAGGCCAGAGAGAGGAGGGGTGGCTCTGGATTGGTCAGTTTGCAAATGAAAGGCATGCTGGGGGCTGAGTCCTTTGTCTCCTCTTAAGAATTGGCTAGTCCTGGGAGCTGCAGTCTCCTCCGAGGCAGCAAGGTTTGTTTTTTTAAGGATGTAAAAGTACTATAATATACAGAAAAAAATATGCACATATAATAGATATTTAATATATATACACATATGTGTATATATATATTGCAAGAAAGAGGTCGAGAGCGAGAACCTGCTCCAGGTCTGGGAACACGGCCTGGCACCCAGAGTCCCTGCTCACCCTCTAGTTTTGGGAACAGCATCTAGAAAAGGCAAACAACCTCAGGCACTGTGAGGACTTTCCCCCAGGGAGGCAGAGTCAGGAGCTCCACGTACTGGCGTGGGGGTGGGGGCGGGGCTGTTCTAATGGGCGGCCTCCCCTCCAGGAAGCTTGGAGCAGAGACCACCTGATGGTGGGACAAGAGGACAAGCCACGGAGAGGGGCCAGCAAGTACCACGTGTTGTGACGAGAGCGCGCCGGCGACAGTGGAGGACAGCCCGGCGGTCAGGGAGGACAGAGACGGGGAGATGGCCGGGGCTAGACCGTGCGGGCTTCCGCAGGCCACAGGGAGGGCTTCTGGAACTGTCCTAAATTTAACGGGAAGGTATGGAAGGATTAAGAGCATTAAGAGCTTCCATGGAGCCCAAATGCAATGGGGGCCATTCGCACAGACCCCACTGTGAAGGAGGCTCCCTGGAGTCGGCGACCCCAGCTCCCCCAGCCACGGCAGGCATCGCTAACCAATCACAGGCCCTGCTCATCCAGCCCCGGCTCTCAATCCTCTCTCCCCCACGCGACCGCAGAGCACCTCTGCCGCTTCCTCAGAGCTGACCGCGAGATGCCCAGGCTCTGCCATCGTTGCCCCTGAGGCCATGAGCTCCTGGAGCTTGTCTGACAGAGATCTGGTGACGCAGAGTTGAAGCAGACCCGATCAGTTCTTTATTTGGAAGGGGATGCAGTTCGTAATCCGACAAATCTGTGACCCCAGAAAGATTTCAAGTTCCACGCCCAGCTGGTTGGCTGTGAGTTCGTACCTGCCCTGGACAAAGCCACAGGCATGACAGTTATGCCAGCGCCAGTACCCCTGGATGATGCGGACCGCGTGGAGCAAACGGCAGTAACGCTGGCGGATGCGCCACATGCGGACCCAGGACTGGAGCGTGACCGCGGCCCAGTTTGGCCGAGCATAGGACGCCAGCACGGCCCGCCGCCTCTCCTCCAGCCGCCTCTCCAGTCTCTGCCTCCACCAGCGCTGAATGATGCAGGCCCTGAGCGCCGCGTGCAGCAGCGCCCGGCGCACCAGGGTACCCCGCCACCAGGCCTGGATCTCGGTAGCTTTCTGCTCTTCATCAGGGGGTTTCTTTATCTGGGAGGGAAGGGGTGGCAAGGAAAAAGAAGGTTTGCTCAGGAACGTTCTTCACCCAACTTAGCGCCAGGGCGCCGCCAGGAAAGGGTCCTCCCGATCGTTATCAGCAAGGGCTCCTTCTCGGAAGTTGTGGAGCGTGGGGCAGGGCACTGGCTGGAGCCAGAAGACCAGATAGGTGTCTTGCCTCTGCCATTCTGGTGAGTGCACACAGATGCATCACTTTGCCCTCTGAATCCGTAACACGGGGCACACCTGCCCTAGCTATCACCACATCCTCCGGACCTGGCGGGCCAGTCTAGAAAGAGAACACCATGATCTCTGGGTCAAAGGTTAATTATCATGTTCTGTTTGGGCTTGACCACCTACCTGGGGTGCAGATCCCTTCCCTTCGGTGCCCACCCACAGGATGGAGAAGTGGTGTCCTTTGCTCGCCTGCGGTGCCTGATTCTAGCTCCAATCACAACCCTCTGTCTTCTGTCAAGTCAGAAGTCTCTGGCTCCACGCAGTTTGGAGTCTTTCTCATTTATTTCTCACTTGCATTTTTTTTTGTTTTGTTTTGTCTCTCACCCCTTAGTCTTCAGTCGGCACACATACACGCACACGCGTGTGCACACTCCCGCACGATTCGAGGCTTGGGCTTCCCCTTACTTGGCAGGGCCTTCCCCAAACACAGCCCTCAGCACCCCACTCCCCAACTTTGCATGACCTGATTCCCACTGGCCAGGGTTTGTCCTCCCTACAACCGGCTTTCCATGTCTCAGTCGGCCGTGTTCCTCAGAAGGAGAGGAGAGTGAGGGCCGGGTCTCTCCTATGCATCCCAGCTCTGGCCAGGACCGCCATCCATCCCAAGTGGCCTGGGACATTCTCAGCTTGTGATTGTTGTTCCTGCGTAGTAATTCATAGCACTATCTTTCACTCACAAATGTATCCTGGTCTGGATGACGAGTTTCATGGTCATCCCATGCTGTGGGCCACAGAGAAGGCCACCCATCACTCCCGGGTGACTTGGATCAGAGAAGGTGCAGATCAGGGCCACCCTCAACTTTGAGGGCCTCTGCAGACTTACCTTCAGAAGCTCTTCTTTCTCCTTTCCTTCATTTTTTGCCAATTTGGTTTTATCAACATCCTTCGTGATTTTATCCAACTGGCCATCCTTCTGTAACCAGAGTTTAGAGATGACAGTTATGGGTATGCTGTTCTCTCTACAACTCTGTGCCGCATCCACCACATCCTCAACCTCCTGCTTCGCCCAGAGCCCCTAGATGTAGGACTCACCTCCCGAGTTATCTGTGGAAATCCGCCTTCCCTCGGCTGCACCGTTGGGTGGCTTTGCTGTCTCTTACACAGAATCGAATGCCCCTGGCTCAGAAATAGATGGTTCAAATTCCCTCAGGTGTGCAATCCCCTAAATTGTCCGTAATTAGGAGCCCGATGGTCCATCATTCTCAGGATCGGGAGATTCACATAAGTTGTCACATGTATCAGCATTTTGTCCCTTGCATTACTGAGTAGTAGTCCATGGTGTGGATGTGCCATAATCGATTTAGCCATCCACCCATTTAGATGGTTTCTTTTTTCTTTTCTTCTTCTTCTAATTCTTCTTCTTCTTCTTCTTCTTCTTCTTCTTCTTCTTCTTCTTCTTCTTCTTCTTCTTCTTCTTCTTCTTCTTCTTCTTCTTCTTCTTCTTCTTCTTTTGGCTATTTTTCCTACTATGAAATCTTTCCACAAATTTGAATTTGAAGATATGTTTTAAATTTCTGGGCTTATACCTACAAGTAGAATCGCTGAGTCATATGGAATTCTACACTTAACTTTTTGAGAGACCACCAGACTGCATTCTACAATGGCTGTCCCGTTTGACGTCCCCACCAGCAATGCGAGAGAGATCCAGGTTTTTCGGCCCTCACTCTATGGTATATGGAAGATACCGCTGTACTGTAAAAGCGAAGCCAACAGCATTGGCTATGGACGATGTGGGCAGGACAGGATCTATAGTTGGGATGGTGGGTGAAACGACTAAAACCAACACCATCTAAAATCACCAACTATCTTGCTTAGTCCAATGGTCAAGTCTCTACCCTTCGCCCCCTCGTTTGTCACCCTCTCGGCATCAGACTGCAGAGCCGACCACCGTCTCCTACTTGAAACGCTCTTTCTTTGGCTGTCGACATACGGGAAAGGGAGGAATCAGAGAGGGATTTGAATCAAACGGATTGGATGAATGGTCGAAGGAGGAGGAGAAAACAGTCTTGGACGGTAGCTTGAGGCATGGGGACTGAGAGGTCCCGTTTCTGCCACACCATGTTTGAAAAACCTATTAGACATCAAAGTAAGATGTCAAGTGGGAAGTCACACTTTGGGTTATGGAGTTCGGAGTGGGTATCAGGGATGGAGATGGCGATCTGAGTGGCTTCAGGATACAGCAGGTATTTAAGAGTCTGTGACTGGATGATATCACCTGGGGGTAAACATAAAGAGGGACTACAAGAAGTTTTAGGATTGAGCTCTTCAAAGGTTAGAAGCTGATCAACAGAGAAGCCGTTGACAATATTAAGAGCGGTCAGTGAAGGAAGAGAAAAACGTATGGTGTCCTCGAAGCCAAAAGGAGAGTGTTTTGAGCTGGAGCGTGTATGACCAACAAGAGGGCAGAGGGCAGGGACTTGCCCATTGGACTAGGCGAGGTAGTTGGTGGTTTTAGGTGGTGAAAGCTTTTGTTGTTTAACCAACCACCCCAAGCATAGAGGTTTAGAACGACCACTTATTGAGCTCACAGTTCCATGGAGGAACAGTTTGGCCTGGACTCATCTGGGTGATACTTCTGTTTCCAGCTAGGCCCACTCAAATAGATGTGGGCGGTTGGCAGGCGAGCTGGGGGCCGGTGGTGTAAGATGCTGTCATCAGAGATGGTTCATCTCTGCTCCATGTGATCGCGCATGCTATAGCGGAAGTCTCCCCGTCCACGCGGTGGATGGTGCGCGAGGCCTCCCGAAGCCTAGGCTTGCAACGGCCACAGGACCACTCTCGCTGCGTGGAATTGGCCAGAGAAAGTCGCGGGGAAGTCTAGATACAAGAGCTTAAGTAGTTTCCATCTCTTGATCGATGGAGCTACAAAGTCACATGGCAAAAGGGCATGGATTATATGAGGGGGGAAGAGATTTTAGTTGGTTTTGCAAACGATCTCCCTCAATCCATACCATTGACCAGTACAGTTTCTGTGGCGTTGGGTGGGAGGAGGGAGGCCCGATTGGTGTGAGATTAAGAGAGGATGGGAGGGCGGAAGGGCAAATAGTGACATGTTTTCCTTTGAGGAAATGCAAAGAACTGAAATAGCAGGTCATCAAGGATGGACTTTTAAATGCCACCTAGAGTGCAGTGAGCATTCGTTACCACTGAGACCAGAACAGAGACTGAGAACAAACATTGAGAAACTGTTCCAGCAGATTGAAATACTTATTTTATGTATCGTGACTGCAAAGAAGCTCTGTATTCTATCTGCCTTTTCCATTTATTTTTCTCATAATTTGTTTTTGTCATTTTATAAAAAATATTGGTCTGTTTTGGATTGGACGTTTTTAAGAAATGGACCTTCCTCATAGCTTGCGAAGTGGTGGTCTACCGTGTGGTCATAGGAGCAGGTGACTGAGGTAGGATGGGAGTCCAGATCGCTGGAGATGAGAGGCAGGGGGCTTGGGGGCATCAGGCAGTCACTGCTGAAGTCACTAAAAATGGTGTCACACCTAAGGTGGAGGTCACATCAGTGGAGCCCTCTTTGTGTTCAGTGCCATGGAGAAGCCAAGGACAAAGGATGGAGGCGGAGCTGACGCGTCTTAAGAACATGATACCTACTATTTCCCAAACCGCGTCCAAGTTAGCAAGTTAGCAAGAAGCTGGCAGAGCCTCGTGCCCAGTCATCGCTAAGACCAGCCGCCTGTGCCTTCTCTGGGCTGCACTCCTCCCAAGAGAGCCGGCCAAGTGCCTGGCTTTCGTCGGTGGCCTCGCCAGACAGAAAGCTAATGAGTGTGAGGCTCAGCTGGCCTGATGGCAGGCTGACAGGGCGTGACCGCAGAGAGCTTCTCACAGGAGGAGGCGCCCCGAGTCTTCAGGTATATAAAGCCCAGCCCCTCCCAACCGCGGATTCAGACCAGGACGGTGCTGGATGTGTGGAATGGGACAGTCTCAGGAGGCAGCTTCTGATTTGGATAGTCAGTGGCACGTGGTCACTGTCAGTCCAGAACAGGGGCCGCAGGCAATGAGGGGTGAGGGCAGCGGCGAGGTATCTGAACCGACGTCTCCCCAAGGAGAAGAGGAGGGGCAGGGCCCGAACCCTCGGGGTCCCCGCGGTGTGCGAGTCACTGAGACACACAAAACCTGGTCAGACGTTTATTGCGGCACGGGAGCCACTTCTGTGCGCGGAAGGCTTTTAGATCGTTAGGATTTCTACGTGGAACTCCAGCTGTTTGACAGCGCACTGGAGCTGCGGCCGCAGAGCGTCCTGGATCTGGAAGGCGAAGCAGCCCCTCGGGGCCTGGGGCACGCAGGCGGCGCTGCACGTTCGGCAGTAGCGGCAGTAACGCTGGTGGCACTGACACATGCGAACCCAGGACTGGAGCTTGACCACCGCCTGCTCCTGGTGCACGTAGATCTTCAGCAGGGCCCGCTGGCGCTGACGCAGCTGTCTCCACCTCAGCGTCCGCCACCAGGCCTGAATCATCCAGGCCCTGAGGGCAGCGGCCAGCAGGGTCCGACGCACCAGGGTGCCCCGCCACCAGGCCTGGATCTTGCCAGCTGCCCTGATTCTTGCTCGCTGGTCTTGTTTTTCAGGAATCCTCTAACCAAGCAAAGCAGAGGACTCCTAGTGAATTTGTCCCCATCGACCGCGGCTCCTGTGTCTGCCACTAAGATGTTCTGATCTTCTCTCGTAACCATCAGCCTTTCCCCTGCTGGTTCTGAGGGCCTAGGAGACCTGGGTGGGGACCTCCCTCTGCTCCTCTCTTGTCTGAGGTCGGGTACACATCTGCTCATCCTCTGAGTCACAGTGTCCTCGTCTTTAAAGTAAGGATACGCTTTGCCCTGTGATCTTCACAGCTTTGTGGAGCCAGTGCAAACTCTTTCTGACTCAGAAGACCCGACCTGGGCGTGAGGCACCAAAGGGCCCTCACCGGAATGAACCTCTGCATGCGTGGCCTGCATCTCAGCCCACACTCGGGAGCGGGAGGCTGCCTCCTGATGCCTCACGCTGGGCCACGGCCCCTTCCTTGGGGGGCTTCCCCTCTCCTCCACTACTACCTCTCACTCTCCCCGTATCCTCTTAGGCCCATGCTGCCCCTCCTCCAGCTTTCTAGTTCCCACTGTCCTGCGCCCCACCTTCCACGGGGGCTATTTGCATTCTAATTGTCTATTGTCCTCTCCATGCCTAGCACAGCTCACTCGGGTAGGGAGGGAATTCCTGGAGGCAGGAGAGCAACACTGAGCTGACGACTCCCGTGGGACCAGAGATGGGTCCTCCACTCCCAGGGACCCGGGTCCGAGGGGCGATGATTTGTGGTCCTCTCGTGCTCCTTGGCCCCACTTACCTTCTGTATCTTTGTCTCCTCTTCACCCTTGTCTAGATCGGACTTCTGCAATCAGAATGTAGAGAGAAAGCATGAGTGAGGACCAGCCTCTGCGCAATGTCCCCACTGCCCCAGCTCTCCATTCGTTCCCCGAGTCTTTTGAAGTCATCTGGTCCTTCCCTCTGCCATGGGGATGGGGTATCTGACTAAGTCTTACAAAGCATTGACTGCCCATGGTTTTGGGGCAGTGGTTCAGGTGTTCACACCCCCTTCTGGTTGCTGCTTCATTGCTTCGGTCCTGGCAAAGGCAGGCAGGGCGGTAGAGGAGGGGATGGCGATGATGTCACAAGGGCACCTATGACCCAGGGACCAGGATGCCTTCTCCAGGTTCAAAGTTGTTGGATAAAGAGGAAACACCTGCCCATTTCCCTCCTGCCAGGGATGGACCAGAATCTTGAGTGGAACCACAGCCTCTCTGAGTCTGACCTTCCCCAAGGATGATCTCTGGTCTGGCCCACCCACAGGACCATCCTGTCCTCAGCCACCGAGGAGAGCAGCTCACACGGTGCAGAGGAAGGAGCGTAGGCTTGGCTGCTCCCCCTGCCTTCCCGCATGGTGTCTGTCCTCAGTGGGTGGGAAGGTCCTTCTCTGAGTGGGGATCAGTGTGAGTATGGAGGGTGAGCAGGAGCTGGGGAAGGATTAGAATGGAGGTACCTCAGCCAATTTCTACTCCCTCCCACCAGCTGCTATACCCCTCGTCCTTCTGTAGCTGTTTGGTGGCACTTAACAAGCCAATATATGTTCCTCAAAACAAAACAAGCCCTTCCATGCCGTGTCTGAAACTTAGTGAGTGGGAGGAATTTTGCAACCATGAGTCATTCCGTAGGAGATAATGTCGCCCCCACTGTAGACTCCTCTGGTGGTGGCATTGGGCATATTTTAAAGATTCGATTTAGGGATTCGGGCTT